ATATTGGCTCCACCCACCACTTCATTATTTCAGAAGACTTATTCATTTAAGCCTACTTTCATATACCAATAACTTTATGATAAATTGAAAGCTATATATTTATTCTACATAATTCTGTCAGTCTTCCTAAGTTATTTATGAGCAAAATGCTCATATATCATTGGAAAGTTTAAAGTATTGCTATCAAGGCTAGTTTGTGAATAGAAATTATATTTTTTAGACCCAAATACAATTTAGTTAGGAAGCCTGATATATTACAGTGGATTTTTGGAGTATTGGTATAATAATTTATAATTTTTTTGTATTCCCAAATGCTTATATAAAGTCTACAAAAATTAGGGAAATTTCTGGGAATTGCACAGCATGAACTTATTTGATATTGATGGTGTCAAAGTACAGTAACACCTAAACAGGAACAGGTTTCTACTTCAGCTGCAACAGGGTGTCAAAGTACAGTAACACCTAAACAGGAATGATGACTCATTGCTTTATATTTGGCAGGTTTCTACTTCAGGTGCTAACAGTAGAATAACAATAGGAAATAGGTGTAAAAAAGATTAGAAAAAACTCTCAGGAGATTTACTGGAAACTTTACTGTCTGTACAAAGTACTATTCATTTTGTTTCTTCTAATTTCTAACTCATCTACTGGCAATAAAATATGTGCAAAAAAAAAAACAGTGTGAAAAGGTGAAAGTGTAAACTCTGACCACAAGTACTTTGAAATTTTGTAATCATTACTAACAATACTATACATTTTATTTTCGTTATACTTTGATTACTAATATACAACCTGGAGAAATAAGTATAAAAAATAACACATAAAATATTTAGTTTTACTGAAAGTATAAAAGTTTGACATCTAATTAAGAGTTTTTTTTTATTTTTCATTTGTTTTAACTGTTTATTATTATTATAAAAGTAACTAAAATCATAAAAACAGAAAGTTGTTAGGTAAGATAATGAAAGAAAAATAATAAAAAACCTTCGTGGGGGGTATACGCGTCAGAAGCTTCTGCATTACACTGTTCGATAGGATCATGTCAATACACGTGCACCATGTAATTTTTAACTTCCATCTGGGTAATTTTAGTTAGACACAGTTCAAAGGTCAATAAAACAAAAATTAATAAATATTTATAGATTTATACTGTTAAGATATTTAAGCTATTCAAAATAAACATTTGTGATTTCCTATTACAATTTGCAGTTACTCTAGAAGAAAAATGGTAATTTAGATTTATTTCCTAATTTTTATGATAGTTACGAGGTTTGTTAAATCGATCAACACCAGATAGAGTTAATATTGATAAAATGATAGATTAAATATAAAGTTTTATTTAAGAAAACGTTTGATGATTATATAGAAGGATATACAGATTACACAAATGAAACTTGACAAATTTCACAGAAAGAAAAGTATATCTAATCTTAAAATCAAAATCACTTTATACATTGGATAGCCAACATTCTGAAAGAAAGAATTCACAAGAAAATCTTTAATAAAAAAAATCTTTAAACATAATTAAAAAAAACAGATATTTTGTGTAAGAAATCCTTGTAATGTTTACTGATAATCTGCAAAATTTTGTAGACTTGTGAACATTTTCAAAACTTATAGTACAATTATTCTCAAACTACACAACTGTATCACTTGAAACAAATGGA